CGTAGCTCTTTAGTTTCGAATGCAAAATTTCAACACACCAACATTTCCATAATTGATTCCCACGCCAGTACTTCTCTCGGGGTATTTTCCAGAAACATAGAAATCTAATATTTGCGAAAATGGTTGTTTTGTATCTGCAAATGGCCTGGTCATAAATCGGGGATGCCGAATGAGTAGCAGCACGGAACGACAAGTTGTCACTTTGGATTCGGTATGCATTCCTTGAAAGGGAGGGAATACGATAATGATCTCGGGAAACGAGCAAGAGAGAAGGGAGAGAAGAGAGAGAGAGAGGAAGAGGAGAGGGCGGCAAGCAGCGATTGCAGGGGAATTAGCGTTAAAAAAGCAGAAATACAACCAACTTCAATAAAAAGATTAAAGCTATGAAAAATTTTCGATTTTTGATGAGAATCCGAGCTAGTGGAGACATCTAGCAGGGGTTCTGTGAGTAGCCTAAGCCCAAGCCTAAGTAAGCTAAGCATCAGCCTCAGCCTGCTAGCCTGCCCTCTCCTCTTCCTCAACAATCTCTGCTAGCCTGCCCTCTCCTCTTCCTCAACAATCTCTGCTAGCCTGCCCTCTCCTCTTCCTCAACAATCTCTGCTAGCCTGCCCTCTCCTATTCCTCCACAATCTCTGCTAGCCTGTCCCTCTCCTCTTCCTCAACAATCTCTGCTAGCCTGCCCTCTCCTCTTCCTCAACAATCTCTGCTAGCCTGCCCTCTCCTATTCCTCCACAATCTCTGCTAGCCTGCCCTCTCCTCTTCCTCAACAATCTCTGCTAGCCTGCCCTCACCTCTTCCCTCAACAATCTCTGCTAGCCTGCCCTCTCCTCTTCCTCAACAATCTCTGCTAGCCTGCCCTCTCCTATTCCTCCACAATCTCTGCTAGCCTGCCCTCTCCTCTTCCTCAACAATCTCTGCTAGCCTGCCCTCTCCTCTTCCTCAACAATCTCTGCTAGCCTGCCCTCTCCTATTCCTCCACAATCTCTGCTAGCCTGCCCTCTCCTCTTCCTCAACAATCTCTGCTAGCCTGCCCTCTCCTCTTCCTCAACAATCTCTGCTCGCCCAACAGTAGCGAAAATTCACTGGCGTAGCATTTAATCTGGTAACAAAAAACCGCCAGTACCTCCAGTGTGCCGGTGGAGGGGTTAGATGGTTGTCTTCTTGGGCCCTTGGGCCCCAAGGAAACGTCCCACACCGGGAACTCATTTCGGGCCGCCGGGCGCGGGTCCCCGATATGATTCGATTCGGGATTTGGCTTCGCGGGCGCGTCGGCTCGGCGTTTTTCTGCATTTTTCTCTTCTTTAAGGGACTCGGTAGGCTAGAGTTTGCTGGCAGAGACAAAGGTTCTCTGCTAGTCTGCCGTGAGGCCACAATTCCTCAATTGTCTTTGCAAGCTTGCCCATCAAATTCTAATGTTTATAATCTGACCCCTTTGACCAGGCCGAGATAAACAGTCGTTCTTTTTCTGCTTCAAGAAGATAAACAACGCTATTGTTCACCCTTTTTTCCCGTCGCCCCCTATTTAATATTCATTTTTATCGTTTTTAGTTGTTTTTCACAAACAGTCCCTGTTGTTTCTCACGCCGTATTGTGCGCCCGCGGGAATAGTATTTATACCGGCAAATTCAACGACTTTTTAGAATCGAAATGGTCTATTTTTCTTAGGTTTCTGTATAGCTTAATAATTTATCTAATTATACATACTACTACTCAGATTTTAGTATATAGAAAGGGAGCGCGCATTAATATGATAACTATTTTACGGCCCTTTCGTATGCTAATACAAATTCCTTAGAAAATAGCGAAAATTTCAAATTCAGAAATCCTTATTATTTTTTGCAATAATTTTCTAAGGCTTGAAAGGAGCGAGCATCAGCCTGATGAAACTCCCTTTATTACAGGATTTTTAGAAAATAGGAAAAAATTGCTTTCGGGCCATTGACTTCGTTTAATTGTTTTAATAAATCCTACTGCCAGTGCTTGAATCGTGAAACATAATTTTTTAAATTATTATTGGTTTCCCGGGAATTTTCTTGCCCAGTTATATTTTTTTTTAGAAAAATGAGCCAATAATTTTCTCGAGCCGCGTACAGGGTGTCCCAAAAAACGAACTATCTGGCATTTTGTCTTGTTACGTGTCGGCCCCAAATTGCGACGAGAGGTGTATCAGACCCTAAATAACAACAATCCTGACTTTTAGCCGCGTAGCTCCAGTCGTTCTTGAGTTATAACGAAAATACTGTTTTTCCTGGAATTCTGAATAGTTTTTCGGCTATCTTTTTTTACCCTGCATCGATTTGCATCGAATTGCGGCTGCGAATCCCTAATTTCGCCTAAGATCCTGGGGAATTTTGCGTTGTAAAAATCGTTTAAATCGAAGCTTATTTAATTAATTTTAGTCTGGATTGTGGTTATCTAGGGCCTGATACACCTCTGGTCCAAATTTGGGGCCGATTGGATGGAAGGCGGCGAAATGCCGGATGGTTCGTTTTTTGGGCCCTGTACTTCGACCTATTGATTATACAAAAGCTACTGCTGGTGCTCGAGCCGTGAAACATAGTTTTCAAAATTAATCACCGCTTTCCCGAAAAATTTTACGGCTGCTAACCTTCTCTTCAAGCTGCAGGCAGTGCCATACACCCTATAGATTTTGATGCCCCATGCCAAGACTTGAAGCCTATTCCCCTCCCCCCTAAAGCTGTTGTTTTCTCCCATGCTCTTCCAGGCGAAAAATACAGAAAAAGCAGCGGCCTGCTTTTTTCCTCCTTTTTATGTGTGTTTTTCCACCATGACTCATTTCTCTTCCGCCGAGAAAGCAAAAAAATTAGCGCCTATACAAAAAAGTCCACGATTTCCCATTTTCTCCTGCTCATTATTTGGACGAAGCTTACAAATTGTTGCGGAATTCGCTAGCCTTATCAATCGCAACCCCATATCAACCAGCTCCAAATGCTAGGGCAATGCTATTATAGAGCAAAGAATTACTCCTGCACCTCGAAATACGCGCCTAGAATCTCCGCTAGCAAGCCCTCTCCTCTTCCTCAACAATCTCTGCTAGCCTGCCCTCTCCTCTTCCTCAACAATCTCTGCTAGCCTACCCTCTCCTCTTCCTCAACAATCTCTGCTAGCCTGCCCTCTCCTCTTCCTCAACAATCTCTGCTAGCCTGCCCTCTCCTCTTCCTCAACAATCTCTGCTAGCCTACCCTCTCCTCTTCCTCAACAATCTCTGCTAGCCTGCCCTCTCCTCTTCCTCAACAATCTCTGCTAGCCTGCCCTCTCCTCTTCCTCAACAATCTCTGCTAGCCTGCCCTCTCCTCTTCCTCAACAATCTCTGCTAGCCTGCCCTCTCCTCTTCCTCAACAATCTCTGCTAGCCTGCCCTCTCCTCTTCCTCAACAATCTCTGCTAGCCTGCCCTCTCCTCTTCCTCAACAATCTCTGCTAGCCTGCCCTCTCCTCTTCCTCAACAATCTCTTCTAGCCTGCCCTATCCTCTTCCTCAACAATCTCTGCTAGCCTGCCCTCTCCTCTTCCTCAACAATCTCTGCTAGCCTGCCCTCTCCTCTTCCTCAACAATCTCTGCTAGCCTGCCCTCTCCTCTTCCTCAACAATCTCTTCCTAGCCTGCCCTATCCTCTTCCTCAACAATCTCTTCTAGCCTGCCCTCTCCTCTTCCTCAACAATCTCTGCTAGCCTGCCCTCTCCTCTTCCTCAACAATCTCTGCTAGCCTGCCCTCTCCTCTTCCTCAACAATCTCTGCTAGCCTGCCCTCTCCCTCTTCCTCAACAATCTCTGCTAGCCTGCCCTCTCCTCTTCCTCAACAATCTCTGCTAGCCTCCTGTCCGGCGTGTAAAAATTTTTATTTCAGGAAATGTTCTTTCTTACTATCCTCTGCATATCAATACTGTTACCGATATGCGTTGATGCTCAACCGAGGTAAAACACAACTTTTCTGGTATTTTAGTGGAATGCAATCGTCAAGAACATCAAATTTTCTAAAAGATGTTTTGCACATAATCGGATGTTTCGGAATAAATCAGCAATTTTAATAAAGTTCGTAGTCGACGGTATTCAAAAAAATTGCATAACCTTGCTTATTTCAGCTTCCGCGTCATGACTTTCAACATCTGGAACTGCGGCGGGAATGTGAACGATGGGGTGGCGAAGATCGCAAAGCATATTCTGCTGGATTAGCTTGGACATTGTGGCAATGCAGGTGAGCTGATTTCAGAGAGGCAACTTTATAACGGCAGCTTCCTTAATAATCGCTGCTAGCCTGTTAGTTTTCTGCTCGTGACCAGTATATTGCTCTCGTCAAAGATCTCTGCTAGACTGCCTTACGCTGGGGCGCCGTATTCATCATCAAATGGCTATGCTAACAGGCCCCAATCCCGGTTCTGGCATATTTTCATTAAATTTATTTTATTGAGCAGGAATCCGTTTTAAAAATTAGAAAAAAGAGGTTTTTCGGCAAAAATGATCGTTTTTGACCAAAATTACGACTATTGAGAAATTTTTGAAGCGTTTTCTAAACGAAAAACCGTTTTTAAGAAAAACATGTTTAAAATACTTCCGATTAAGTTACTAGGCATTTGAAGACCCGATATTGTTTACCCAAAATTTTGTGTCCCCCGATAATGCGAAAGAAACGACACTTGCACACAAATGCGTCTCCTTCAGTCTCTCTCTCTCTCTCTCTCTCTCTCTCTCTCTCTCTCTCTTTGTTTCTCTGTCTCTCTCTCTCTCTAGCTTTCTCCAGCTCTGATTTTCCCTAAAGATCTCTGCAGAACTGTCTTTTCCTCGTGAAATGCTGCTAGCCCTCTCCCTATTCCTCAAAGCTCTCTGCTAGACCCCCGTTCTGTTCAGAAAGAATCCCTGCTAGCCTGCCCTTAAACCTACTAATCCCTTTAGGAGGTCGAGTACGAGAAATGCGCCGAGAACATCACCCAATATCTGCCCTCCAGCTGGCATTTCGTGCACCCCGACCGCGATTATCCGGATGTCATGATCCTCACAAAGCATAAGGTGGGTCTGCATTCCCCAAATAATCTCTGCTAGACTGCTTGGGAGGCTGTGGAGTGCAAAATCTCCTCAAATTGTCTCTGCTAGCCGGCATGGATTCCTAAAAAGTAAAATTTAGATTGTTGAAGTCGTTTCGCACAAAGATGACGCGTACATCTACGCGAAAGTCGAGCTCCCCGGCGAGAAGCACGTCAACTTCTGGTCGGTGCACGCGGAGGCAAGGTCGGTGGCAGGCTAGCAGAGATCCTTGCGGAAATTTGAGCCGGGCAGGCTAGCACGGGCAAGCTAAGAAGGGACTTGAGTTCGTAGTTTGAGCCAGGAGCTAGGAGCTGAGAGCTAGGAATTTGAGCTCGGAACCAGGAACTGTGAGCTAGGAGCAAGGAGCTTGAGCTAGGTGTAAGGAGCTAGGAGCTTGGAGTTTGAGTACGAGCTAGGCGCTAGGAGTCGAGTTAGGAATTTGAGTCGTGAGCTTGAGCTCGGAGTTGGGCCTAGAGCTTTATCTAAAAGCTAGGAGCTTGAGCTAAAAGCTAGGGGTTGAATTATGAGCTTGGAACTGGGAGCTAGGAGTTCGGGCTCCGGAGCTTTAGCTAGAAGTTGAGCGCTATGAGCTTGAGCCATCGCTAGGCACGCAGGGAGCTAGGAGCACTAGCTCGGGTCAGGAGCTAGGAGTTTGGAGCTAGGAGCCGGGAGCTAGGAGCTAGGAGCTTGAGCCAGGAGGTTCGGCTAGAAGTTTGGACTAGGTAGGTGACCTAAGCAAGCAGGCTAGCAGAGATCATCAAGGACAAACTTATCCAGCCAGGTCATTTATCCAATTTCGAGGCTGTGCAAGCTAGCAGAGTTTCAGATTTTCCGCAAGGGCATGCTAGCAGGAAAAATTTTCCGGAATTAAGAGCCTACGGCCCCTACCTCGCCTACAACAAGCTGGTCACCAACATCTCGCAGATTCTCAGCGCCGAACATGCCGGGAAGGAAGGTGAGAGAGAGAGAGCGAGAGAGAGAGAGAGAGAGAGAGAGAGAGAGAGAGAGAGAGAGGTGCAAATAACTATTTCTCCAGGCCGTGCCGAAGAACTTGGTGGCCTCTTGGCCAGCCCAGAGATGGCAGCAGCCCTGAAAATCGTCGCTCAAGTCCCGATCGTCGTCGCTGGAGACTTCAACGTCCCTAGCCATCAAGACTGGGGCGAGGACACAAGTAATCAGACTTTCCAGTTCCTTTAAAAACTACATATTATTTATTTATTTTAAATTAATTAAATTAATTATTATTTATTTGACTCTGTAAATGTATGTCTTAGTTAGCTTAACTTTTGCAGGTCGATCCACGGGGCTGGGCAGTGCCATGGCCAGCCACCAAGGAGTTGACCGATCAGGGATTTGTGGACAGCTACCGGGCGCTTTTTCCGGATCCGGTCAAAGATCCGGGTGAGTGAAAGAAGGCAGGCTAGCGGTTGTTGGGAAGACGAGAGGACAGGCTAGCAGAGATTGTTTAGGAAGAGGGAGAGGGCAGGCTAGCAGGGTTGTTGAGGACGAGGGGGGCAGGCCTAGCAGAGATTGTTGAGGAAGAGGGAGGGGCGGCTAGCAGAGATTGTTAGGAAGAGGAGAGGACAGGCTAGCAGAGATTGTTGAGGAAGAGGAGAGGGCAGGCTAGCAGAGATTGTTGAGGAAGAGGAGAGGGCAGGCTAGCAGAGATTGTTGAGGACGAGGAGAGGGCAGGCTAGCAGAGATTGTTGAGGAAGAGGAGAGGGCAGGCTAGCAGAGATTGTTGAGGAAGAGGAGAGGGGCAGGCTAGCAGAGATTATTTGTTTCAGCCCGAACCTGGTCCACCTGCAATAAGATGAATAGCGAATATCATTACGCCTTCGAGGAGGCACAGACCGAATTGACTTCATCTTCTATCAGGGTCGCGTGAAGCCCTCCAGGTAGCTGGCACAGTCCCTTTAAAAAAATTTTCGTTCGTTTTAGGACCCAAATGTATGGCGGAAGCGCGCCGATCAAGCCGATTCCATTCCATGCCGAAAACGACTACCCCTCAGACCATTTTGCTGTTTTTACCGACTTTGCGATTCTTAGGGGGCTATTTTCAGCAAGCGTCGCTTTTGCGGTATCCTTATTTATATGTATTTAAAGTTGTACGATAAATTTGCGTTTTTAGAAGTTCCGGAACTACCGGTCCATTTTTTACGGGCATTTCAAGGGCCCGGAATGAGATTGTAAATACCGAGGGACAGGCAGTAACCTTCTGAAAACACTTTCGCTTATCTGGAATTCTGGCCCTCGGAATTTGGGATTCTGGAATCACGTGCTGTGAGAGAGAGAAAAAGAGGAGAGAGAGAGAGAGAGAGAGAGAGAGAGAGTGAGAAGGTGAGTCAGAGATTTGCAGAGCCTGACCACCTATCAAAGATTTGAAGCAAACCGAATATCGGAACGCGGTAAACACTTCGCCGGCTTATTTGGATTGTCAGAGGTGTTTTTTGGCGTTTTTGCAAGGAGCCAAGCCGAATCAGAATACCATAGTTACATAACAAAAAACTGTAGGTTTACGTAATTACGATATGCGCGAAAAAGTTGGCTGAAATTCTACCGCTTCCCCGATATCTTGCGTTACCCGGGTTTTTTTAGCCATTTAATCTAAGTGTCCAGACACATGAACTATTTTTTAATTGGAGAATCTTTAACGGTCAAAACACAAGCGCTTTCCACACGATTGCCCAATCCGATTTGCCACACACGCGCTACAGAACTAAAAACGAGCGCTATCAAGCGCCAAAATTCACAAAAATTCGCGATGCGAAGACATTTCGTTGTCGGAAGATAAGCATCACGCCCCGCGAAAGCGCCGGGCGAGGCCCCGGTTCGAATTGATTAGTGACGGAACATTTGGTCTGTTCTATTTCGCGGGGGAGAACTGTGCGGGGAGGATTTTCTTCGTTTTGTTATATGTCTTTTATATGATTCTATTTTGAGTTGTAATTAAAACTCTTAGTATAATCTTTGACACTCTATCGAATGGCATTAAAGGAATTTTTGAAAGATAACGAAAAGGTCGAAAAGGAGCTTTAGACTCCACGATCCCGCGTGGAAACACCGTATAAAACTTGTTTTTTGCTATAACTTTTTTATATTACAATATTTTTAGCTAAAACAAAAACTCTAGTATATTTTTTTGATGCTCTATCGGATGGAGTTGCAAAAAATCCCGAGAAAATAGCGAAAAGATGGACGTTTCCGCGAAGCATATCCCCCCGCGAAATAGAACAGAACCAACATTTTAATCCGAATGCTTTGCAGCTGAATTTCATTTCCAGAAGGGCAATAACGATTGGACGACAACTGCGACACCGGCCTCCAATGGTACGACATTTTTAAGGGAAAAATAATCTAGATTTGTTTTTTTGGTAATTGTCTAGCGACTGGCATAAAGAAATTAATAAATTCCGTAAAAAACCTAAGAAGCTGTATAGAACCTGCGTAGTCTGGCAAGCGGTTAAATCGCACAAAAGGTATCGGCTAACAGAAATAACGTATCATAAAAATCTTTTTTTTCGTTTTTGAACTTCCACCGTTTTCCTCTCATTTATCTAACCCAGTGGTGAACGGGAAATATGCGGCTAAATAGACAAAAATTGCGAAAATGTTTTAGGACAATTTAGTGGCAAAAAATGTTTAGTTAATCCCACGTTTAGTGGCGAAAATGGCCACGCCGGCCGCGTGTCAGACCGGAAGCCTGAACCTGCCCCTCACCGCCGTTCGGGGATGACGAGGAATCGGCCAGCAAGGTTCGCGGTCTGTCGTTACGTCAATGCGAGGAGGGAAACCGAGAGCTCGGCTTACGACACTATAGTAAGTTCTTATAATGATTATAATAATAATACTAATTTATTTTTCTCTTTATTATATTTTAAGACTAGAATAATTAAAACCTTAAAAATCCTAAAGGGACTTATAAAACATAGGGACTTTAACAATAATTAATAAACAGAAAAGCTAAGGAAGTGGTAAAAACCATAGAGTACATATGAAACTAAGATTGATATATATTTTTCCAGATTGACGGCGTGCGCGTACCCCATGGATCCTGTGTAAGTCCTAATAAAACATCTTTCGAATTTAATAAATTCAGAAATACATGAATAGTATATGGACGAACATCGAATTGCTTTTAAGGTATCCCAATTTTCCGTATCTAATGCAATATTTTCAGAGACTCTTACTTATTCCCACCATTCTATTCGTGCCTGCCCCACACGTGTACAACTTTGGTGGTATTTGGTGCAGCAGCCTGAAGAAAAGTATGTTTACTTCTTCCTGTCCCGCCGTACGCGTGAAAATGCAGACAGGAAAGTTTTAAAAACCTTTGCAGCGAGGATATCGACATCAAGCAGTCCTTCGTCATTATCGACGCCTGCCGGTCGATAATCGCGCTCCTTCTGGGCGCCCTGATGACAATTGGCGTCTATAAAAAATACCCCAACTCCGCTTCTCTGCTATTCGTCATATTTGGTAAGCAAACAGGTTCTTTTGTTTTATCGGGGGGTGGGGAGGGACAAAAAATCATTTTTAGCTTCCATTTTTCCAAATATAAACAGCGGAAGCGTTTCTAGAGTGCTTTTTGCTATTGCGGAATGTAAAAACTTTATAAAATGCATTTAAAAACAAAAACAATCTAAATTTTCCGACCAAAAATCAGCGTTTTGGAAATATCTAGTTTAAATAAGGTTCATCTTCTTAAATACAAAAACGTGTTCCAACTCCCCGCCCCGCTAATGCAAAAGCGCCCGCAAGTCTTTCACAATGATGCGCCCCCATCAGGAATTTAGTACTTTGTCCTTTCCGTTCTTCCCGAGGCGCATTTGCAGTTTTAAGCCGCTTACAATAAAAAGGGACGGGAGGCAAAGCTAGAGACACACTATTTTCAGATATTCTTCTGCCTAGTCTTCCTAATCGACACCGTCACCGGATTCTCCAACAAAGGCTTCTGGCTCGCCCTCGGCAGCATGCTGATCTATTTCAGCTATGGTGGCGTGATGCTCTATGTGACTGACCGGTTAATGAAATGCAAAATATGCTTCTAAACCTATGTTTGCTGTTTTTTTTTGTATGCTGTTGACTTCAATACCTCGGCCGCATATTCCACCCATGAATCTCGAGAAACCAAAACCAAAACTGCCTCATATAAAAACTGTACATATGTTATGGCAATAAAACTTTATGATCGCTTTGGCCGCGGACCGGACAACAACGCAACTCACAAACGGCAATGTAACAAGAGGCATATTGGGGCAAAAATGATTGATCGTTTAAAGCGAAGAAGCAAGCAAAACAAATTTTAAAAATAGACCCGCACCGCGCTTATTTACCGGCCGGCATCGGCATGTTCTGCATCTGCTCGCTGACTTTTGCCCGGAACGCGTCGGTGATCGCGGCGAGCGAGGCGCTTCTCGAGCAGGATTTTCTCGATTTTCTCCGTCTAAAAAAAAGAATTTGACGCGATCGAGAATCACTCACATTTTCTGTGATGTTCTTCAATTTTCGCCGGAAGAATTCTTCGGCTTTCTCGACGGGAATTTCGGCGAAGAACCCTAAACAACAATAAATGCCTCGAACGATGCAATTACCTGTTCCTAATTCAACGAGGGTAGTCTTCGGGTCAACAAGTTCGGCTCGTATATAGGTCTGAACCCAAATAAATAAAAAGTTAAACAGTGTTACCGATTCCGTGAGCGGGACCATCGAGATGTCGCCAGGCTGCTTCTTCGCTAGGCCCTCCACTGTTTCTATGCTTTGGTTCACCTGAAGAAGAATTTCCGCAAAGACAGCGAGCTTTACCTTATCCGCAAATCCCTTCAGCGACTCGAGTGAAGTGGCGAAAAAAGCAATGTCACCCTCAAGCGCCTTTTGGAAGTTATTTAGCTGCTCGATGGAGAGCTGGCTGATCGGGATCGATTGTTGTTCGGCCATCTGAAGAGTTCGATTATATTTATATCAAGAAATTAGGATTTTCTATAAGGAAACATAAATCAGAAAGCTCAATTTAATTTTTCTAACGATCCATTACCAAAGCTAAATTCGAGAATTCGGACCAAAATGTGGTTACTGCGCGGTGCCCACGCGTTCATAGTATCCCCGCGTTGCTCCATCATATTACAAAAATTGTGGAAATCTTGCAAAATTTTTCGTGAAAACGCTGAATAAATAGAATTTTGGTTGGCTTTTTATTAGAGAAAACTTTTCACGACGCGACGACAGACGTTGCTTTCAGTCCGACGGGTGACCAAGAGGCTCATGACGATCGTAAGCTTCAAATTTAGAAAAGTATTTTTTGTAGGAATCCCGTGTTCCGTACGAATTGGTGGACATTGGGGCCAACTTGGGCCATCCCTCCTACAAGAATGATTTCGAAGGTGATCAAGCGAGCGAAGGAAGCGGGTTCGCCTTTGAGCCGCATTCCACTTCTAACCTGAAGAACCTTTTGAGGTATTTGACATTTAGGCATCAAAAAATTGATGCTCACCGGCACCTCGGAGGAAATCAGTCAATCAGGTGTGCAAGCTGGCCGAACGGGAGCCCGGGTTTTTATACTTTACGGCCGGTAAGCTTTTTAGGGATAACGCGAATTACATGATCATAGGCGTCCACCCCCACGACGCCAAAGATTTCAAAGAAGGCACTCTGGATACATTGAAAACGCTGTGTGGCGCACCCGCAATGCGTGGCCGTTGGTGAATGCGGTTTGTCGGTTTTAAAAATCAAAAATTGTTTTTAGGTCTGGACTACAATCGTGATTTCTCGCCTCGACCTGTGCAAAGAGAGGTTGGAAATGCTGTGCTGAAAAACCCAAGATTTTTAGGTCTTTCAAAAGCAAGTTGAAATGGCCGTCAAATTGAAAAAAGCCGTTGTTCATTCACGAGAGGGAGGCAGCCGAGGATACGGTAAACGGCCGGAACGATTTATAATTTTCGATTCTAGATATCAATCCTCACGTCATTCGGAGATCAACTACCGGCAGCGGTTATTCATTGCTTTACCGGAACCGTCGAGGAGGCCGAACGGTTTATCGAACTTGGATTTTATATAGGATTGACAGGTATTGCTTAAAATCTCAAAAATTATTTTCGTTTTTCAAGGATTTTTGTGGAAAGACCGACTGCCGAACGGTGTGAAAGTCGCCTTGAAGACGGGCGCTATCCCCCTAAATCGGTTGGTGCTCGAAACCGACGCTCCATTCATGTTCCCGAAAGTCAACGACAAGAAGATACCGAAGGAAATCAGGGACAAGTTGACCGAGCCGGCGCTGCAATTGCATAAGGTATCAGACTTACTGTAAAGTGTTTTTTACTCAGGTGGGTTTGATTCGGGACAGTGATTGTGAGATTTTGCTGATACCGAATCCGTTTTAAATTTGCTGCGGACTTTTTTTTTGAACGGTATCGGGGGGGATTATCATGGGGAGATTTAATGTGAGATGTCTTAGTTGGCTTCATTTTAAAAATGTAAATTACAAAACTTTCCAAAAGTCGAAATTTGGTGCAAAAACCGACCATTTTTGTGAGTATAATTTTATTTTTTCTTCACCTCCGTAAATAAAGTCCGCAGCAAATTTGGAAAGCGGATTCGGAATCAGCGAAAAATTCTGCACAAGATGCACTTGGTCCCGAATCGAAACTCCAACTTGAGTAAAAACACTTTACAGTTAGCAACGGGTTCTTTCGCATTATCGGGGGGGGGGGGGGTTGTGTAAGCCTAGAAATGCCTAGTAACTTAATTGAAAGTTTTTTAATCATGTTTTTAGTAAACTAAATATATTTCAAGTAGATAAACTATAAAAAAGTTTTCAAAAAGTCGTCGTTTAAATTCTTCAGGTTTTTACGTGTAGGAATAGTAAAAAAAACAATTTAGAAACACCCGCTATTTATATTTAAAAAATTCGATTTGAAAATCGCTTTAGTTCTCATCCTTCGACCGAAATGAGCCCAGCACGCTGGCGTCAATTTGCGAATTGATAGCCGGGTTTATGGACGTGGATCCGGTGGAGGTAATTCATGGGTTTTTTGCAATTTCACTGGTTTTTAGGTGGCCCGCGTAACAACAGAGAACGCGAAACGGATTTATGGACTCGAATAGCTTGGACTTTTCTTTCACTGATCACCTTTTTTGGTTCCCAAGCGATTATTCCGATTTCCGAATGTTTGCGTAGCATTGGTCCCATTTGTTATTATCAATTTCAATATCGCTGCCCTTGTTCTGTGATATGATAGGTAAGCATGTATAAATTTTTCAAATTGATAACGATTATCGGAAGCAGACAGGCTAGGAGTACCTCGTATTTTACGGCGCGTGCACTTTCGGGTCAAAGGGCCAGCGGAGGTGTTTCGAATGTTCCCGCCCGCCGAACGGACGTGGGAATCCATTTTGCCCCCGGGCACTGATAGCATTTCCAGAAAATCTATTTCGTCGACCCTGTCTTGTTTTTCCGGTTCTTTCGCATTATCGGGGGAACAACCTTTTTCTTAGCCTCTAATGTTTCAAATATAATTATTGAGAAAGTTTTTAAATGTGTTTTCGTTATTTCTGAACGTAAAATCTTACAAAATTTAATAAAAAATGGCAAATATTGGGTTTTCGACCAAAAATGACCAATTTTTTTGCAAACTTTTGACTTTTTTCGAAACTTTGTAGTTGAAATGTAGTTAGTTTTTTACTTCTGATTTTCCTCTTGAGGTTTTTGTCTTAATTCGACAAAGAAAATAATTCCATTTCCAGGTAAGATGCTGGCCCTCGACAAGGACACCTCGCTGCACGCCGCCAAAATGCGGAACCTGTTGCGGCTGATGAAGGACCGAAATGTGTTCAAGATCGACGAGAAGGAGGGATTCCTCCTGAAGAGCGGCCAGGTATCGAAGGTTCCTTTGTAAAAAACTGTGTTCAGATATCTCCAATTTACATCGACCTCCGCGAGAGCTTTGGATACCCGGATGTCATGGTGAGCATGACAAATTTGTCGAAGATTTTGTGTTTAGGAGCTAGCCTGCGATTGCCTGCGCGAGATGATCGCCACAATGCCCGGTCACTACGACGGCATTGTCGGCGTCCCGTATGCGGCCCTTCCTTACTCGGCGGTAAGCTAGAGTTTTCTGATGAAAACTTGTTTCTTAGGTAGTCTCCCTACAACTCCGCAAGCCCCTCATCATCATCCGAAAAGAGGCGAAGAGCTACGGCACCAAGAAGCTCATCGAGGGGCGCTACGAGAAGGGGCAAACGGTCGTCATCATCGAAGACGTCGTCACGACGGGCGGCAGCATCAAGGATGTAGGTTTTGCCGTGAATTTTGAAAATCCGTTGTTTTTAGGTAGTCAAGATCCTGCGCGAAGACGGGCTAATCGTCCAGGACGTCTTCTGCCTGCTCGATCGTCAGCAAGGCGGCGCGGCCAAGCTGAAAGAAGATGGCATCAACCTGCATAGCCTGATGAACATGGAGCTCGTGCTGTCGTTCCTCGTCTCGGTCGGCGCCCTGAATCACGACCAATTCGAGCAGGTGCCTTTAGTTAGGTTTTTGAAGTAATACTGTCTTTTTAGATCCGGACCGCCCTCACGTTGCCCTTTGAAACCGTTTCCCAGCTGAATATCGGCACCGAGCTCGAGAAAGCGGAAACGAACACGGGAAGCGAAAGGAGGAAGGCGATGGTAAAATTTTTACTTTATGAATCAAAATCAAGTCTGAATTTATTTGCAACTCAATTTTTTATTTTTTTTAGGAGCGCCGCCTCTCCCTGGCCGAGCGCAAGGAGTCGACCAGCAACAAGTTGAACAAGCGCATCATCGAGCTGATGCTGCAAAAGAAGAGCAACCTCTGCATCGCCATCGACTACAAGGAGACCGAGCAGATCTTGAAGGTTTGGGCTAGTTTCCGATCTTATTTCTTTGTTTTGTTTAGCTTGCCGAAACTGCGGGGCCCTACATTATTGCGGCCAAGATCCACGCGGATATTATCGAGAATTTCAAGTATGTGAATGCTTTGTATTTTTTATTTATGAACCTCTTTTAGCAAAGATTTTACCGACAAACTCGCCCAACTCGCCGAGAAGCACAATTTCCTGATCTTCGAGGATCGGTATTTTTATCCTTGCCGCTAAAAGATAATTTTTTTCAGTAAATTCGCTGACATTGGCAACGTGATCGACTTGCAGCTGGCGGGCACCCATCGGTGTGTGATTGGTTGTTAAAATCAGATTTATGAGATTTTTAGGATTGGTCAGTGGGCTGACATTGTCACCTGCCATGCCGTGCAAGGGGCCGAGAGTATTACGAATGCGTTTAGAAAGGTAATTTTTCGAAAATAGATGGTTCTAGCGTAATATCGGGAAGGCCAGCTTTTTTCTTTGGATCCTATTTTTCTGTTTTAGGTAACGGCAGTATTTCTAAATTTTTACTGGTCCTAAATATAAACACCACAAATTTTTATTAAAAAAGGCACAAAAAATTCGACCAAAATTTTCGAAGTTTTTTATTGTCTTTCCACTGGAAATATAGTTAAATTTTGCTGAAAACGCTATTAAATTGTTATAGATTACCTTACTAAACGTTTCTGGACGTATAGAAAAAAAGTTAATCCCCCCGATGTTGAAAAGCACCCAATAAATCAGGATCGAAAAAAACTGATTAATTAGAAGTTTTTTAGCACATTGCCCTCGACTCGACGAAACTCGGCGGCATCCTGCTGATCGCCGAGCTCAGCTCGAAGGGAGCGCTGACCGATGCGAAGTATGCGCAAGGTATGATTTGTTTAAAAATCACAACGTGCTTTCAGAGGCCATTGCCGTCGGCGAGGCGAACGAGGACGTCGTCTGCGGATTCATCTGCCAAGACCGCGCGTCGTCGAGGCCCGGCCAGCTCAACTGGACCCCAGGTTTGTTCTCTCGGTCTGTACGTGTACCTCCGAATTTTAGGCGTGAACATTGACAAGCGCGGAGACGGTGCTGGCCAGCAGTGGCGTACCGTGGAGCAGGCCGTCGTCGAGCAGGAGAACGACATTGTGATCGTCGGCCGCGCCATCTCCGAAGCGGCAGACCCGAGCGCCGAGCTCGAGCGGTAAGGGCAAGAAAATTGATTTTTTTAAGCGCCTGAAACTTAACGTAAAATTTGTGACGAAAAGATACAAAAATTCGAGGTTTTTTAATTAGCTTTTCTTGTTTTTCAAGTTTTTTAAATAGTTCTGCACTTGAAATAGGTTTAAAGTTTTTAAAATCCCATTTAAATAATTGCGATTACATTAATAGCCGTATTTTCCTGGTGGGAAGCTATCCCATTTTGCAAAAACACAAAATCTTTCTGTTAATGAATCCTGAAAGTATTCTGGCTATTAAAAATATAAAATTATCTATTAAAAAATAGGTATTGAAAGCTATGAAACAGCCTTAAATAATTTAGATCTTCTTTTTTTCAGTTACCGCACGGCTGCCTGGGCTGCTCTCACCGGCGAAAAAGAATAATACTACATTTCTCATTTTTTAATTTTGTGATTTTATTGGTGCCTTCAATTATCCAACATTTCCGACTTTGTTACTTTTTCCTGTCTTCTGTACGTTGTTGATCTACAACCCCTGTGTCTCTCCGTCTAGCTGGTGTCTCGTTGATAAAAGGGTAGTGCTTTTTATTGGCGAGTATTGCGTTTTTGATTGATCGGTTGCGAAACACCCATAATATTTTTTCTGGAAATCGATCTTCAACCATGTTCTGCTGGTCGTGCTCAGGCCTTTTTGAGCGTCTTCTTCAGCCCGCCGACCATTCGCATCAGCGTCGAGTAGCCGTAGGGGATGCAGCGGCAATCCCGCAGCACGCTGTACGCGTTCGAGAAATCGCGACAACCGCCCTGAATTTTTGGAGGTTATGAAATTCTCCTAGGATCTCTGCTAGCTCCCCCCTTTGCCTATAGAAAATCCGTGAAACGTACCCTGCAAATTCCGAGGCCGTCCGTGCAACGTTGCTGAATCCCGTCCCAGCCGCAACCTTGCGCCTAGAAATTCGTCAGTGGTTGTTTGGCATTATCGGGGGGGGAATTACTCCTTAGCATACAGGTATAAATAGGGGACTTTCTAAGCAGCTTTTTTGATTTCTAGACGTAAAAACTCGCAAAAATGGCCGTTTTTAACGAAGATTTCGACTTTTTGAAAATTTATGAAATTTTTAAGATAGTTTTTAGTTTAAATCCAGTTTTATTATACTAAAAATGCTACTAAGATACTTCATATTAGGTTACTAGGCATTTCTAGCAGTATACAAAAAAATTTGCTGCCCCCCTTCCCCCCGATAATGCCAAAGATCCAAATTCGTCATTTTTGGGTTACGGGGCCCTTTGAATTCTACCTGAAAATTCTCCTTATCGTGCAGCATGCTCAGGTAGCCCGTCGACTCCACCGGGTTGTAGCTGTCGCGGTAGAGCAGCGGGTTGTAGCCTGAATTACGTCCAGTTTTAGGCATATTTTGGACATACCATAATGGTCGTACGTCTGCCCGGTGCCGTAGTATGGGCTGCCGTAGCGCTGCGAGCCGGACATGTACCAGTGCTGGCTGCCCTCGCTGGAAGGCCGTGAAAAAATTGGGGTGCTTTCGCGTTATCGGGGGGGGCATTTTTTCTTAGGGTCTTAGGTCGTTTTACTAAAAACGGATGTTTTAGGTCGAAAAACGAATTTTATTTGCAGGCTAAAACGACAAAAATTTCGAATTCTTATTTTTGATTTTTTTTAGAAAGTTTTTGAGCTTTAAATATAGCTTATTATCCTACCTTATATAATTTTGGCGTGTATCTTTGTGTGTGTGTGTGGATGTCAGTTTCGAGTCCAGATTTGAGGGCCTTCCCGTGCATAAAATGCCCCAATTCTCCGTCACCTGGGGAAATCGACCCTTCTGTTTCCAATGGCGCTTTCAGAATTTTGATAAAATACAAGTTTACAAAGTTAAAGCCGGTTTTATTCATTTTTGGGGGTCCCGGAGGGCTAATTTGCATAATGCGGAAAAATAGAAATTTCCTCATTCTTGCGAGTTGCACGCGCGTGTGCGGTGGGGGGTTCGAAGGGCCCGAGCTACCGGAAAGTCAAATTTATCATGCAAACGCACCATTCCAGCGCCCAAGGCCCGCGAAGCGGGTTTTGGGCGCTGGTTAGTATATGGCTACAGTATGTGCCTTGTATCTACCGTAATCCCGGAGCCCGAAAACGGCCATGTTTGAGCACAAGGCCTTCAAAAACGTTGCAACCAACTTGTAGGGCAGCTCGTAGGGCATCCGATGGTAGGTGGGCGAGCGGTAGAGCACCGGGTTTTCATATTGGGAGACGCCAAGTTGATACTGTCCGGCTAAAAGGTTGGATTACACAGCGATACTAGACACGTATGTGCTGGGCGCGCGCTTTGCAAACCATGCCCCGCGACCCGAACACCGGGCAAAAATGCTCTGAAGATTGCGGCTCTTTGGCTCTTATTTCTACTGTTTCTCTACGTTTGAAAGTTGAAAGCCGTTCGTCATGTTTTCGGTTCTTTTTCGGATTCTACAAATCTTCCGCATTAATTCCCTATTTTTCAGCGCGATCTCCGACAAGCATCGTGCCGGACTATGGACCACAACCCACGCAAGGTATTTTGGGTCGAAAAAAATCAATTTTTGTTCTTTTAGCGCAAGCTTATCGACTTGCGCGCGCCGGACAAGGCCCGCGAACTCGGCTCGTATCGCGATCAGCGTTACCAGGTACAAATCTTGCCTCTATGAAAATCTTATTGTTTTAGGGTACGCTAAGGAAACAAGAGGAGCAGTTGAAGCGTTCGACGACACTGTACGTCGGCAACTTGTCCTACTACACGCGCGAGGAGCAGGTGAACAGGGCGAGAATTCTACTCAATTTTGCGTTTAGATCTACGAACTCTTCATGCGTGCCGGTGATGTGCGACGGGTCGTCATGGGACTCGATCGTTTCAAGAAGACGCCGTGCGGATTCTGCTTTGTCGAGTGAGTATTGGTAACATTGATTTTCTGACGTTTTTTACGTTCTTACGCTCTAACTAGGATAAAAATGTTTTTTTTTTGTGGCTGGCAGTACGAACGAAAATCAACTAAATTTCCGCTTCAGATATTACACACGCGAGGACGCGGAAATTGCGATCCGCTACATCAATGGCACCCGGCTAGACGACCGCAGAATTCGCACGGACTGGGATGCCGGCTTCATCGAGGGCCGGCAATATGGACGAGGACGGCATGGCGGACAAGTGCGTTTTGTTTATCCTTTGCAACATAGTTGTCGAAACCGACCCTATTCAGGGTAAAGCAAGTCTGTGACGTAGTCACCTCTGGGGAAACCTTTCGACCACAAGGGATTGATAGTATAAACAAAGGGCCAACGCGACCCAACGGTAGGCCCCGACAATTCCGAAATGAATTCCGAAATTCCCTGGGGAATTCCGGAATTCGACTTGACAGGGCAATTCCGAAACTATCCAGCTCCGCCCCAAAACGGGCTAGTATAAAAGAGCCCCGAGGCGGCCCTTTGGCACTTCGCTAAAAACTCCCTCAGACCGCCTGACCAAGCTTCACTGTACCACGCGTTACAGTAGAGCTTACGGGCGAAGAGAGAGTAGCGAATACAAAAGGCTTTCCGAAACTCGTTCCGAAATTCCCTTTTCGGAATTCACACTCCGAATTTCCCTTTTCCGGAATTCACATTCCGAAATTCCCTTTTCCGGAATTCACATTCCGAAATTCCCTTTCCGGAATTCGCATTCCGAATCGTCGTTCCGAAATTCCCGAATCCCACATTCCGAAATTTCTCCAAGTCCTATTTGTAGTCCCCGTATTTTATATAGTGTGCCAACAACTGTTAAATAAATATACCCGTGACGCCCAATACAGAACACCGACACATATCAGCCGTTAGGGCGCCACATTTTGGTGCGTCGGCCTTCTATACCCCGGGCCACATTCTACCACGCTATATTTTAAACCACTACTACTTAAAAAGAAAACCCTAAAAATTTAAATCCACTGAACGTAAACCCACCCCTTTTAAGAGCATTTTTGCACACTACCATTCCGAGTCGACCAACTTGCTATATTCCGAACCAACCGCCGTTAAAGACCACGCTACGGCAGTCGCACAACAGCAGCTTCAAGTAAGTCAGTTTAATATATCACGTTTCGTTTCGCGTACAACTTCCGTTTATTTTTCCTTTTCCTATTTCAGCTTAATCCTAACGCCTCCCGATATACAATCTTTAAAAGCCACTAAAAATTTTAGTAGACGTACTACTTATTGCTATCCTCCTTATTCTATTAACCTTTCTTATCTTATTAATTTGCGCCTATCCTTCTCCCCGAGATTGTGAGCAACAACTCCGGACACCCTTTTATTCACGCACCCGCTTCGCCCCCAATTTTTCTCGCCACCAGAACCCCCGATCCTTATCTGAAATCCACGCCCCAAGAATGGCGGCTAACGGCCAACCGCTCCGCCCATCTAGAGCGGTAGAAAGCAGGGAATATTCCCGTCGAGTACGCGCCTTAGCCGACACAAATCGGGATGTTTTGGAACACATACAATTCGATATGAATGTGCGGTTTCCTCAAGAGGCAGTGTCAAATGAAGCCGAACGTGCTACCTCCGCCGCTCAATTGCCCGAACTTTACACCCAAAAACGGGCTCTAGAGGGCGCAGTACAACAATTAGAGGAGCAGATTGATAGGATTACGAGATTAGAAGAGGATCCCGAACATGATCATTTCCAGGGCATATTAGAAAACCTAGAAACCCCTGAGAACGTTCGTACTCTCAGCGACGCGAGACGATACATTCAATGGCTTACCCGTGCTTACCAAAGCATCGAGGGACAAATCTATACGTATGACAAGTACCTAAGGCCCCCTCCCATCGTAGCCCCGCGCAGGCAAGAAAATGCCGAGGAAGAGCGAGAACCCGTGATTGCGGTGGCGCTTCAGAATGCGCTGAATGCCCCGAGACTCCCCGAAATCCAACTGCCTGAATTTAAGGGAGACCCAATAGATTACAATGCTTGGATTACAACTTTCCGACGAATTATCGGCGACAACCCCCAACTAAACGCACTAGACAAATTCAGTTATCTAAAAACCAGCTGTCGGGGACGTGCGCAAAATATTGTCGGACACTTGAGGTTAACGCCGGAAAATTATGAAACAGCACTGGCACTGCTAGAAAGGCGATACGCGAATCCGGAGCTACTAATTCGGACATTGTTCAGCAGGCTTGATGGGATACCCGTCGCCAAAACCACGCCAGAAGCCGGGCCCACCTATGATAAAGTGCGCGCTCTAATTGAGGAACTACGTCAAAACAACGTAGATATCGATCCACTAACCAGAGAGCGCGTTACAAAAAAATTCCCGCGCCCCATTCAAAAGAAGTTGTGCGCAGCCGAACACGGCAACCAGAATTGGGATCTTGACCAGTTCTTAGAAACACTTCATAACGCTATAGAAAAAGCCGAGCATTTGATGCAAGTTACCGAACCTCGGCACGATGCTGAAGAGGTTAGCCTAGCTATCAATCGGACCGCTTACAATAATAGAGATAGCAACGAAGCACGGCGTTCTTCTAGGAATATTAGACAAAATCGAAAAAAGTTTTGCGTCTACTGTAGGAGCACAGATCATCATAGCCTCGACTGTTCCAAAATCTCTGATAATGAGGAGAGGCGAAAACTTTTACGAAAAGAAGATCGTTGTTTTGTTTGTACCCGTAAAAACCCCCATGACTGCCGGAAAAGATCATGCCAATGCGGATCGGATTACCATCACCCCTCAATATGCCCCCTCGATCCGAGAATTGGCTCTAAAGCCAAACGGGGCCGTTCCCCAGGCAAGAGACCTAATTCAGGAAGCTCAACTCGCGAGCAAACTCCGGGTCGAAATTTAAAAGGCTATGATAATGATACTGAGAACGATGAAACTTCAGATGAACACGCTACCGAGCCAGAGTCTGCTGAAGATTGGCCATCCGGCACCGAATCTGAGTCTAATGAGGAAAACATAACTTCTGAAACCTTTAGTACCACCGCGCTGAATATTAACCTGAGCTCTCCCATAGACATTAGTGGCAAACAGGGCAATGAAATCTGGCAAAGCGAAAATTGCCTTAATGTCTTTTCTCTTTCCCTATCGATTCTAGAATCCGCAGAAATCATAGATTTAAATGAAACCAGCCCACTCCTCTCAAAAGATAAGGCCCCTAAAAACAAAAAGAGAAAAGAGAGGAACGCTTATAAATCCAATAATAAAAATCGGACAATTCCTATCTTAGCTGCCCTTAGGCAGCCGTCCCTTGCAAAGGTAGACTATCCACTCCGGAACAGGCATGCTAGAACGCCACCTTACCCGGATCCACCTAGAAGAAAAATGAACTTCAGGATGGGGTCCGCACCGATTTTTCTAGCGTTATGTATTTTGGCCTTAGGATTGGCCCCCGCCTCCGCGGACGCCACGCAAATTAGCGCTACGCTAAGCATCCACAACCTAGGACCAATCCTCCTAGCTCTCACAACCAGGCTCCCACCTAGTGCGGCGCGACTACGGTATCAAGCAGCTTACAGCCAAGCAGATCCGAGTTTTCGGCAAAGGCCTGGCCGAAAATTTAGCCATAACATGGGCGGTACTGGCACATATATGGGCGAAGCGAATAGGAAAATACGCCAACTCTCTAACAAAGTTGCCAGATCTAATCGATACCAACCTCTAGCTCCATTAGAAAATGTGCTAGACATCTCTAGCTGCAAAAATTGGACACCGCATAACAGTATCCAAATGGCTCTGGAGGCCCCCAGTGGGGCCCGCGCGACCGTAGAAATTGATACCAATGACCCAGATCTAAACAACAGGTCAAATATCCAGATTGCGACTCAAGGGAAGGTCCCCTGCCATACGCCTCTACGGGCCAGAGATTATTTACGCCGAAAATATAGAGCGTATTCATTTTTTAAAGCAAAGGCCAAAGAGTTAGCTTTGAGGTTCCCTACGAAAGAATTCGGGAATTGGACCATGTGCATTTTGGTGTCGATACGCAATCCACCGGGCTATTAAAGCGAGTTAAACAATTCCAATTCTAGAAGATCCCCTCACCACCTCCTCAGCGCTTTTCAACCCCATGATGCGTCCCATTCCTCCACCCCATCCACCTCGCTACCACCAATTTCGCGCTTACAACAACTTTGAAAAACCATTCGACCCTCTTTTTCCTTGAATTGCTTTGCAAATCTAATATTATGTTGTGATCGAAATGTTTGCTTTCTTTCCGCGGGGGGAGTGTCGAAACCGACCCTATTCAGGGTAAAGCAAGTCTGTGACGTAGTCACCTCTGGGGAAACCTTTCGACCACAAGGGATTGATAGTATAAACAAAGGGCCAACGCGACCCAACGGTAGGCCCCGACAATTCCGAAATGAATTCCGAAATTCCCTGGGGAATTCCGGAATTCGACTTGACAGGGCAATTCCGAAACTATCCAGCTCCGCCCCAAAACGGGCTAGTATAAAAGAGCCCCGAGGCGGCCCTTTGGCACTTCGCTAAAAACTCCCTCAGACCGCCTGACCAAGCTTCACTGTACCACGCGTTACAGTAGAGCTTACGGGCGAAGAGAGAGTAGCGAATACAAAAGGCTTTCCGAAACTCGTTCCGAAATTCCCTTTTCGGAATTCACACTCCGAATTTCCCTTTTCCGGAATTCACATTCCGAAATTCCCTTTTCCGGAATTCACATTCCGAAATTCCCTTTCCGGAATTCGCATTCCGAATCGTCGTTCCGAAATTCCCGAATCCCACATTCCGAAATTTCTCCAAGTCCTATTTGTAGTCCCCGTATTTTATATAGTGTGCCAACAACTGTTAAATAAATATACCCGTGACGCCCAATACAGAACACCGACACATATCAGCCGTTAGGGCGCCACAATAGTTAATTTTACACGATTACGTTAAAACCGAGCTACTCAATTTTTATCCAAAAACTACTGTTAATCATAGCTAACTTTTTTGTAACTTTGTTTTGTTACCCCGTGTTTCATCTAATATTGGCTTTTCCTACAATTTCAAAAAAGGGGTTCTTCGCTTTATCGAGGTGGCGCGGGCAAATCCTTTTTTTAGGAGCCATTTTTCCAAATATAAATTGCGGAAGTGTTTAGGCTTAGGTTACGTTTATTTTTACTAATTGAAACGTAAAAACTTTACAAATTTTTATTAAAAATTCTGAAATATCGCTTTTTCGAATAAAATTACGGATTTTGGGCCAGAAAATTGCCTAGTTCCAACCTTTTTGGATAGTTTTTCTGGTTTAAATATAGTTATTTTTGTAATAAAAACTGTTAAAACACGTGCTATTAAGTTACTATAGATTTATAGTTTTTTTTTAAAAAGTTCTCCCCTCCGATAGCGCGAGAACCGCGATAATAACCGCGATCAGCCGATTTTTAGACATGAAAATTCTGAAATACGCGCCTTCTGGCTTGTGGCGCCTTTTAAACCAAGTTTTCTAGGTTCGCGACGAGTACCGCAAGGACTACGACCCGGGCAGAGGTGGCTGGAACAAGAGCGTGCAGGGCCGCAACGACGAGGATGATTGAGTCTTGTCGAAGCGCCCCTATCTTCATGCTATTTTCTCGATCCTCACCCAATTTCTCAACCCGCCCCCCTTTTCGTTGTCCAACATCCCAGTGTGATACCATTTAGCCGTAATTATCGTCGTTTGGTTTCGCCTTGTTATCTCACGCCCCAGATTCCCCGACGACTTATTTGACGCTTTTGGTGTAAATATTTGAATTTTGTAATTTGAGGAACGACGTACCGCTTGGATAGGCGTTTAGGTAGCCCTGGTAGATGGGCTGCTGCTGTTGGTGTGGGTAAAACTGGGCGCCGGCATCGGGTAAAAATACGTAGATTACGAGGAGGGATAGCATGCCTGGAGCGTAAGTCGGATCGAAGCTGATAAGCGATGGGAAAAAAGAGACATGAAGATGAGAATTTTTAAAATAATGGTTCTTTCGTATTTCCAGGCGAGCAACAAACTTTTTGCAAAGCCGAATTTTTCTAGTCTAAATAACGGCAGTTTCTACGCTTTCTTTGCGTTTTGGAAGTTTCGAAGACGTTGCAAATTACTATCAAAAACTTCGAAATCAGATTTTTCGACCAGGAATCCGACTATTGGTCTGAAAATTGGAATTTTTTAACAGTTTTAGGTTTTCTAACTAGTTTTCCAGTTAAAGAATCGCTATCTAAAAGTTACGAAAGAGCGTAGAGTTCTGTTTTATTTCGAGCGGGAGAAAATTTGATTGAGCAGAACTTTGATATTGTCGCTATCGTGGCATCAAAAATATGCTCCCCCCGCACAGTTTTCCCCCGCTCGAAATAGAACAGTGCCGAGCGTAGGCGTATCAGAACAAAATCCGCTCCGGTACTATCAACGTATTATTAGTCGTTAAGAGCCAGTAACGAATTAAAATAGCAATAAAAATGAAAGTGACGCGATTATATTCCGAGCCGCCGGAAATCGCGTGTAACCGGCGAAAACCGAGTGCTCGCACCCGGGGGCCGGTGAAAGTGCGGCCGGGTTGCGGAAATGGGCACACCGGAATGTTTACCGGAATGAGGGATGGATGACCCAAATGGCGACATGCACTCCACCAAATAGCCCCTCAGGGGGTATCGAGGAGCGCGAGAGGGGGCTGGGGCTATTGTCCAGAAGTGGCCCCCGAGCCGGACTCGTCGGCAATGCTGTCTCGCCGCAGTTCAACAACCTGTTCCCGCCTCGCAAATTAGCATCGGTGAACGCGGGGAAGGTGATGTTGAAATTTGCGGAATTGGTTGGTGGTCGGCTCGGCAAGGGGAGCTCTTGGAAAACTTGGATTTAAAGGGACGTGCAATGAATGCGGGTTCTGGACTGTTAACGGGGGATGGATTTTGAGCAGGGATAAAACGCTTTTTGTTTTTTCGCCTATACACGCCTGTTGATGATGCATTATGTATTTTTGTATGTTTTTGGTGGTTTTTGATTGCGTGAAAGTTATAATAACTACTTTTTTTGTGGGGATGGCGATGTAGAGATCGAAAATTTGATCAAAGAGCCTTTATAGGGCTTAGAAAAGTGTCTAGCCGACTTTTTCTTCTTTTTCTTTTGACGTTTCCTTTCTCCTTTTTTTTGGTAACAAGGAGGGGGAACAGCCATAATAATTGGTTTCCGGTGTGGGCGCGATCGTTGGCCCGAACTTTTGGTTCCTCCTCCACCGCCTCCGCCTACTCCCCGGGCTGCCCTTGCTGAGAATGAGCTTGAGAATGAGCTTGAGCTTGATAGCACCGTAATACTAGATTTTTTCAGTATTCATAACACCAATTGAGAAATTTCTTTGAAACACAATTTTTAAAAGGCAAAAATGCGGTTTTTGAGATGATAAATAACTGAATGTTCAAATTACATGTTAGAAGATCTTTTCATTTCTCGCAATTCGAATTGTCAAATTTATATATCGAAAAATGACGATTTTTATAATGTCTAATAAGACAGATTTAACAAGTTCATTTTTAAATTGTGTCCAATTTTCGATTTTTAAAAATTGACATTTTGAAACTTTTATTGTTTAGTATTCTAACTAATTTAATTTTTTTAAAAGTATAAGTAGTTTAAATACCATATATATTACTCCTACATTTTAAATAATGACTAGTTTAATTCTAGGAGGCTTAAATTTACGATGCTGCTCGCACGCCGAATTTAATTTGTGATTTTGTAAGCCTTATTTTTCTTTTAATTTTTTTCAATTATATTTTTGATTAGTACAACATTTGAATGTACGGCATCATCGTGAACGAGAACTTTAAACCCCTCAGGAAAATTCGTCAATTTGTCCGCCTTAGGGGATCTAATTTGGTGGCGCAAAGTGACAAGCCGAGGAGCGGCTTTTGGCGGGGGTGAACGCGACCACAAAATGGCTCCAAATAGCGTCGCCCCGACGTCTCGGCTCCTTGAAAATATTATTACGAGACCCTGAAAAGATGCTTCAATTCGATTTTGAGCTTCAATTCAAGCTCACCGTGACTTTTGCCAAGGTTAAAACGGGAGGAGCGCGAGCAGGGCAACCAGGCAGTAACAGCAAACACTAATTTGGATATAACTTTTTTGTTTGGCAATATTTCGCCTGGAAAATTTGGCTACAGATAGATTTTCTGGGTACGCGTCGCTAGTAAAAATTTGGACGCGATCGGGTAGAAGATGGCCAAATTCAGAGGCGTGGTTTTTTGGGACACCTTGCATTTCTGTCCAGTTCCGCGATTTTTGCTGCGAAATCTGTCAAAATCTGGAAACGCAGAATTGTTGGAGTTTCGAATTTTCGAAATCCGGAATTTGCAGAAACTCAATTTTTCAAAGGCTGGGTTTTTAGAATCCCAAATTTTTAGAATTTGGAATTTTAGAAATCTCGAATTCTCCAAATCTTGTATTTTGAAAATATCGCATCGAATTGAAAGATCACTTTGAATCAAAATTAAAAGCCCGAGGAATCGCACGCCTATGCCCTGCAGGCTGCAGCTAGCGTATGCAATTCGAGATGCTAAAAATCAGAGGTTCTGATTTGCCAGATTATGAAATTCGCTATTATGATTTTGGAACTCTGATAGGTTCAATTTAAGTGATTTTAAGATACCTTCATTTTACAGGGAATTCGTATTCATTTCCGGATTTATATATATTTTAGTTATTTGCTTTTTTTAAGGATTTAAATAGGCAAAATGGTCTAATTCCAGGTTTTTTTTTGTGACTTCTAATTCGACCGTCTATTCGTGACTTTCGAATTTTTCTTGCCATTCCTAATTCTAAAACATTTTTTCAAAAATTTGGTTCATTTTCCAGATAGTCAAAAAATTCTCAAGAACTTTCGGGACTCAAAACTACTTTGATTCGACGTATTGCGTTCTAAAAATTAGTTTTATTTTTCAACTTTCTTTTCAATTCTCAGGAAGCTGATAGTCTCCGCTGATCCCTTTAATTTTTGAAACCAAAAAACCCCGGTGAAAATTACCGGTTGCAGACAAACGCGACGTCCACGCCGCCCCCGGGGGAATATTACGGGCTCACCTGTAATTTCGCGGCCGGCTGAAAAACCCCCGAAAATTGGCACTCAAAATTTGCTCGCCGATCCCCCCGATAACCCACAATTTGATTTTCATTTTGTCCCTTTTCGAAAATTTCGCATTGAATTTTTGGGGTGACGTAAAGAATGTTCCCAAGGAAGTTTTATATAAATTGGATTGGGATAAATTCGGATTTAATTTTTCTAAATTTTTAAGCTATTTATTTCCATTTTAAAATACATTTTTGTTATTTTTTTAAAGGAGTCGTATCTTGTTAAATTTTCTAAGGATTTCTGAAGCGTGTTGATGCGGATTTTGTGGTGTGGTATTTGCGACAGCTTCGCAACGTTTTCGCCTAGCTGACGTTATTCCACGATTTCCTGGCGAAATTGGTCGTTTCCTGCCATCGGACTTCACCTAATATTTGGGTCCCAGTATTTTGGTCAGGGCGGGTTACAGTAGATCATGCAACAACATTCAATAGAAAATGAAATTTCAGTCGGTCTTGTGTCTCTTTTGGTTCCAAAAATGATATTTCAAAAATTTACAGAACATAAGGCCTGTAATTTTTTCGAATCGGCGTGTTTTTTTGCGCGGCTCAATAATTACACGAATTTCCCAAATGATCGCAGCTAGACGGCCATTTTTAGGAGCCATTTCGAAAAAATAGTGGTTTGTGAATAATCGCTGCTAGCATGCCGGCCCCTTTATTAGTATTTTCGGATAGAAACATGTTTCAAAAATTTACAAAACTTGAGCATTAGCGCGCTGCCGATTCTAGTGTTTTTCAGCGCCTCAGTAATTACACACAATTCCCAAATGATCACTGCTTGCCGGCCATTTTTGAGGAGCCATTTGGTGGAAGCGAGCCGTTCTTAAAGAATCTCTGCTAGCCTGCAGGCTTTTTAAGCGTTTATTTAGATCGTGAAATGATGTTTTAAAAATTAACAGAACCTAAATATTGGCGCTCTGCCGAATCAGGTTGTGTTTTTCGTCCGACATATATTCACCGCATTTCCCAAATGATCTCTGCTAGCCGCCATTTTTCAAAAGCCAGTTCGGAGAACGCATCTCTGCTAGCCTGCCCTACCGATTTTTTACCTAGTGAAACGATGTTTCAAGGATTTTCAAAACTTATGGCTTGTCTATCTGTCGAATTGGCGACGGTTTCCCCCGAATCAGCATTTGTACGCAATTCCCCAATGATCACTGCTTGCCTGCAATTTTTAGGAGGCATTTCCAAAAAACCTCTGCTAGCCTTCCGGCTTCTTTTTTAGCTTTTGAAGCGATGTTTCAAGGATCTACAATCCCTGGACCTCAGCGATCCATCGAATCGTTGTGGCATTTGCGGTTCTCAATAATTACACGCAATTCCCAACGAAAGTCTGCTTGCTTTCATTTTTAGGAGCCATTTCCGGGGAGCGAACCGTTCTTAAAGAAGCTCTGCTAGCCTGCCGGCTTTTTTAGCCTTCTAGTGAAATGATGTTTCAGGAATTCGCAAAGCTCTAAGCTTGCCTAACTGGCGAATCGTTGTGAGTTTGCCATTTTTGCCATTCCGCCCTTTTCGGCCTTTTGCAATAACCAGACGAAATTCCGAAATGGACTCTGCTTCCTTGTCATTGAAGGGCAATTTAGGGGGAGCGGGCCGTTCTTGAATAGTCGCCGCTAGCCTGCCGGGAAATTTTTCAAAAATTCACAAAACCTAAGGATTGTCTGTCTGTCGAATCGACGCTTGTTTTTGCCGACCGAGCACTTGCACACAATTCCTAAATGTTCTCTGCTAGCGCCTTTTCGGTCGGATTCCACTTTCCCTAAAGAATCTCTGCTAGACTATCGGTTTCTTACATAGATATTTTTGCTAGAAAAATTATGTTTCAGGAATTTACAAAACCTAGGGCTTGTCTATCTGTAGAATTTATCGTTTCGTGTCGTCCGAATAACCACACTCACGTCCCAAATGATTTCTGCCATCTTGCCCCGAATACGCAATGAGTATTCCCCCGGAATCGCTGAAATCGGCTAGGCGGCCCAAATTGCCTTGTTATGTTATGCTCAGCTGCCCCCAAATCCGGGTGTCACCTTTCACCCGGCTTCTCGTCTTGCGATTTTTTGGATTTTTTGTGAGTAGGTGGTCCCGGAGAGATTGTGGGGGCACGTAGGCATGAGGCATAAATTAACTTTTTCTGGTTTTTGAGGACATGGATACGGTAGTTTCGGATGTCTCTTTCCTCAACTTGTCGCTGCTCGCCTGCCGTCGGGCCAGAATTCCTCAAATGGTCTCTGCTAGCCTGCCTCACTCTTCCAAATTATCATGTTCCAATTGGAACTGTTCGTTTCCCGGATTCCTCATATCAATTTTTTTTGCCACCCAGAATTGGGGGCGTGTTCTTCGGGAACGGAACCGCCGTGAGGGGCAGGAATGCATAATTGGCCATTCTCACCACCCCTTATCCCCCCATTCCAGCCTATTTCTTGTTGCTCTAGCCCCCCCTCATCCCATCTCAATTTTCCGCCACCGCTCACAAATCGGCACAACAACACACGTCGGCGAATACTCAATTCCGGTGGTCACTTAGTTTACCATATTATTATCCATTCAATGCGAATAAGACACACTTTTTGGGAGGCAGGCTAGCAGAGATTGTTGAGGAAGAGGAGAGGGCAGGCTAGCAGAGATTGTTGAGGAAGAGGAGAGGGCAGGCTAGCAGAGATTGTTGAGGAAGAGGAGAGGGCAGGCTAGCAGAGATTGTTGAGGAAGAGGAGAGGGCAGGCTAGCAGAGATTGTTGAGGAAAAAAGGGGAGGAAAAACGGCATTTTGAACTCCGCGAACTCGTGCATTATTCAAAAACCAGTGGAAAAAGACCGCTTCGCGGCCCTTTTCCACTGGACCCCGTCTAGGAATCATGAATTCCCTTTTCTTTTATCGAAGCCTGCGGCGCAATAGCCTGACTCAAGGAACCATTCTTTGGCCTGCGGCGCCAGAGCCAGCGCTGGGCCAGAATCTTTGAGCCTGCGGCGCTAGCTACTCGTTTTTCTCCAGGATTTGGCCTGCGGCGCGAGAGCCTGGGTCAGGAACCATCGTTGGCCTGCGGCGCCAGTGCCTGGGCCAAGTATCTTTTCTTTGGCCTGCGGCGCTAGAGCGAGGGCCAGGCCTAAAACTCGCACACCGAGCGCCTAGAAATATGTTTTGTTGTTGAAATACCAAAAAGCAGAAAGTTAAATTCCCTGCGGATTCGAACCCTGATCACGCGTTTGTTAGACCGGGCGCCAATCCAATACACCAAGGGGAGGCGGCGATTGATAGCGGGAAAGGCCTCTTGTGTCCTGGGGGCGCGACTCATCCCGGGAGAGAGGACTTCTGATAACTTTACAAAATTCTCTTTTTGATTCTGAATGCGCCAAAAATTTGTAAAAATAATAAGATGCGCGTGATCCCCACTATCGAATACATAAGTAGACCAAATTACAGACCAAAATTCCATTTAGGATTCGAGTTATGGCCCGGACACCACGGGACTGTGGCCATTTTATTAAGGACGTTCTAGTAAAATGCTCATAAAAACTTTATTTTAAGGAATTTGGCAAAATCCAAAAAATGGTATCGGGAGAATTGCTTTTACCACTCACCCTCCAAAAATCAGAGCCCAACTCCTCTTAGCGGCCGAGAAAACCTCCGGACATACCTTTTTTTGGCCAAAATGTTAAGGGTTTTTCACTTTTTTTGTTGTAAAATCGTTAAATGAAGAAATTCCGCAAAACAAAAAAATGCATCACTGACAAATGTGTTTCTCCACGTCCATGCCAAAAATCAGCCGGAAATTCGGCCAGATGACCGAGAAATCTTCATTACAGAAAACAAACATACTTTTCTCGCTTATAGGATAGGATTCCCGAGAATTCCCTATACGTGTGAAAATAAAATACTAATTTAATCCACATCTTCTTTCGCCTTACCGTAACCACCCTTGTTTCTTCCGTTAATCTGCATCCTCATAAAAACCTCCAGATTAGTCTTGGTAAAAGAGATTTATTTTCGGGGATTATATCATTTGGAATTTTATCGGATTTGGTTTTTGAGAAAACATTAATTTTTAATCTTTGAAAGCAGTTATTTTTCTGGTAAAGTTGGTGACGTTGCTCTCTCTCCCTTTCTCTCCCGCTCTCTCTCTCTCTCTCTCTCTCTCTCTCTCTCTCTCTCTTTCTCTCTCTATCTCTCTATCCCTCACTCTATCTCTCTCTCTCTCACCAAACAATCCCAGGAGGGTTTTAGAGCTATTAATTTGTTGATTTTGGGACTTAACCTCATCAAAGATGAGCAGACATCCCAAGGATACGGTAATTCCCCGGGTGCATTTTAGTGGGGCCAGAAATTTGGACGACCGCCGGCCGTCACGGGGTGCAAATTACTCAGAGCTTTTTCTCACACACACAGTCACCGCTTTGCAGGATTTTACTTCCGGAAATTGGGTGGGTTGGGCTCTGGTTTGTAACGACAAAAAGATACACACTTGGTTTTTGAAAGCCTTCCGAAATGATCTCTGCTAGCTTGCTAGTCGAAATCCAAATTCTCCTGAATTCTTAGCCTCTAAAGATCAATGCCAATCAATGCCTTACTTTAAAATTTCCCTAATAACCTCGGCTAGCTTTCCCTTACCTTGAAATTTCCCTAAAAATCTCGGCTAGCCGGCTCTGCCACGTCCAATTTTCCTCTCTGCTAGCTCGTTGCGCTTTTCTGGGCTTCAGGAATCCCTTAAGCCTACCCTGGCCCTCTCCATCGACAAAGAATCTGTGCTAGACCGCCCCGACCAGAAATTGCCACAAGAGGTTCTGCTCGCTCCGCCTTTCAAGATCAGCTAAAAAAAACTTCCTTTCATCTTCCTCAAGGAATCTTTGCTAGCCTACCTGGTGCGCCCTTTCCACATTAATCGCTGCTAGCTTGCCCTCGTGCTCGTGTTCTCTCCCGAACCCGATTCACTTCAAAAACTTTCCAAAAATATTACGTGTTTCGTAAAAACGTGGCAACCAACAGGTCTGAGTGGGATTAATAGGCTGCGCATATTAGCCCTCTCGCCTCCACCGTAACTAATTGCTCAAATCCGGTGTCCTTTCAGGCTCTCGCCGATGCAGACTACGGTAGCCCTCCTCGTCGCCCTGGGGGCGCTGATCGCCGCCGCGTCGGCGGCGGTCATGCCGCTGCGTCGCCCCTTCGGTCAGCAAGTCGTGAAACGCTCCGGGCAGGGCCTTGACGATGTGGTAGGCATTTTAAAGGGATCGTGACAGCAAGAAAATCACGCAACAAAGCCTAAGCCTGAGCCTAAGCCTACGCCTAAAAACTTAAATACCAATTTCAGGAGGGCGTCTGCCGCTTCTACCACCGGAAGTGTCTGGTGGGAGAGAATTCGACGGAGCGCTGCGAGGCCAGCCTTACGGAATGCCTCAACTATGGGCGTATGCTGCTCCGCGGGTCGTATAAGCTGTGTAAGTCGACTTGGAGGGCTGGCTAGCAGATATTGTTGAGGAAGAGGAGAGGGCAGGCTAGCAGAGATTGTTGAGGAAGAGGAGAGGGCAGGCTAGCAGAGATTGTTGAGGAAGAGGAGAGGGCAGGCTAGCAGAGATTGTGGGGGAATTTTAGGTTGAAAACCGGCCATTTCAGGCATGTTCCGCCTCGAGGACGCGTCAGAATGCCAACTCCGCCAAGCGTCGGTGATCAACAAGTTGGCCAGGTACGGTGGCGCAGCGAGACCGGGGGCAACTTTTAATTACCGCTTCCAGGCATGTCCTCAAGGGACGTCAGCAGCCCGCAGCAGCAGCCATACGCCCGCCGGCACGCCGCGCAAATCCAGCGCATTAAGTGAGTTTTAGGGTAGTTTTCGTTCCCAAATTATCTCTGCTAGCCTACCGTCAGCTGCGGGGGGACAGCAATTCCTCAAATTGTCTCTGCTAGCTGTTCTAGTCTAGTTAGAAAATTTGATTTCAGACAAATGCTCGGCCAACAATTCCCACCTCAACACCGACAACACCAATCTGGCGACCAGGCCGTCCTCTATCTATAATAGCTATTAAATAATTGCCTATTTTCGAAGAATTTATCCGGTTTTTGTGATCTCTCACTCCCGAGCCCATTTTAGCTCCTCCTCCTCCTCCTGTTATCCCGCGAATAAACCGATATGTTTGAAAGTTTGAGTTGCAAGACGTGAGAGAGAGGGAGAGAGAGAGAAAGAGCGAGAGAGAGAAAGAGAGAAAGAGAGAGAGAGAGAGAGTGAGAGAGAGAGCGCGCGGAGAGAGCGCGGGAGAGGGCGAGAGAGTGAGAAAGAGGGAGAGGGAGAGAGAAAAAGAGCGAGAGAGAGAGAGCGAGAGAGAGCGAGAGAGCGCGCAGAGAGCGCGGGAGAGCGCGAGAGTGCGATAGAGAACGAGGGAGAGGGAGAGAAAAACAGCGAGAGAGAGAGAGCGAGATAGAGAAAGAGCGAGAGATTGAGAGAGAGACATAGAGAGAACGGCAGAAACTTTTTACATTACGAATTTCGGTATCAGTGAAATTTCTAGTTCTTGAAATGTTGACATTATGAGATTTTGGGGCATGAAATGTCGACATTTCGAATTTCGGCATTCTTATCCAGATTTTTTGCCAGCAGGGTTTTGACTATTGTAGTTTGGTCGGAAAATAATTCTCTACATGTTTTTGGGAAGCTTTCTCATATTTTGAAACATTTATTCGCAACCACGGAACGAGTTCCACGCGGCTACAAAATAACACAGACACCGGGGGCAAAATAGGGGCAAAATAAGGGCTAGACACAACCAGATCACACGCCCAAGGGGAAAGGCAGCAATTCGGGAATGGCCGGAATAAATTTAAATGTGTGAAAATGTAGAAAAATTTACGTGTTTTTTAGAGTTTAAAGGTACCAGGAAGTCAAGTGATTTTTGAAGTAGATAAATTAGCATAGAGAAATTTTTTCGGCCTAGTAATGTATGAATACGTCCTTTCGCAGCCTTCCAAGTACCTTTAAACCTAAAAAATCAGGAAAATTTGAAGAGCCAAAAATATGAATCCATGAATGCATAATGTACAGACAAACTGGGGGCAAACGGGAAATCGAATCACAAAATATGCAAATTAGGATTTTTTCTGATCTTCAGCGATATTTTGAGAATTCTTTAAAAGCATTTTTAAGACAACGGAAAATTTAACTTTAGCTAGTCTCTTCCTGTTAAAAAGCCCCATTAAAAGTAATAGGTTTCAGCTTTTTGCCACTTTACCGAGTTTCTGGATCTGACACTCGTCCCTCAAACCGGAATTTACAACGAAATTTTGGAAATTTCCAAAAACCTTAAAATTTCCCGTTTAGCATTGGTACGGTATTTTACAGAATTGCCCAAAAATTGTGAAATTATTTTCTCGTCAAACCGTAGGGGGAGAGGCCGGAGCCGAGGCCAAGTCCTCCCATTCCGCCGCCATTCAACGCCGAGCCGTACGGTCCGAGACCCGACATTTGTCTGGAAAATGGAAATTTATTAGGGCAGGCTAGCAGAGATCGTTGAGGAAGAGGAGAGGGCAGGCTAGCAGAGATTGTTGAGGAAGAGGAGAGGGCAGACTAGCAGAGATTGTTGAGGAAGAGGAGAGGGCAGACTAGCAGAGATTGTTGAGGAAGAGGAGAGGGCAGACTAGCAGAGATTGTTGAGGAAGAGGAGAGTGCAGGCTAGCAGAGATTGTTGAGGAAGAGGAGAGGGCAGGCTAGCAGAGACCATTCGGGACGTACCCCATTCCACCGTATCCCCCATATCCTCCGCCCATTCCACCGTATCCGCCCATGCCTCCCATGCCTGGCGGCGGGATTCCCATGCCGCTCATTCCTGAAATAAGTCAAAAATACGGCATTTTTTGTCTTATGTTCGCCAGATTATAGCTAGAATTCTGGAGATCGCAAAAATTTTTAAACAATTTTATTGGTAAAGCTGTAGATCATTGATATTTTTGAATTTGTAAAATTTGCTGATGTGTCATAGAATCTCGAAATTTTATTTATTCCCATTGTAAAATATTGATAAAATTATTAGAAAGATTTCAGGGTCCTAAAACGCACCCATGCTACCGTATGGCGATCCGTACATGCCGCCCATACCGCCCATTCCTCCCATACCTCCCATTCCACCCATCGAGCCTGAAATTACCATTTTAAGGTAAGTTTTTTATTTTCTAAAATTATTTTGAAAAATTATAGATTTAACTAAACCATATCCGTTACCTAGCCCACCGTAGCCGTAGCCTAAAAATGCTGAAAAACTGGATTTGGGTTTTTGGTTACGTTTGTAAAATCGCAATTCTCTTTGTTTCAAAAAATTCGTGAGATTTGCAATTTCTTTTATCTAACTAGTCAACCCGAAATGGGGAAATTAGAAATTTTTGATTTTTGAAGATTTAGAAATTTTTCAAAACATAAAATTTTAAACTCGACTTTTTTGGCAATTTGAGGGTCAAAATTCTGCTTTTGTGATTTATTGAAAATTTAAAATCGTTAACAAAAACGTGCTATTTCCTATTTTTTAAGCAAAATTACCATAAGGACTCATCGATCCCATCTGTCCCATCTGGCCCATCGACATCGGGTCGGTGAAGTAGCGTCCCGGGGAGCGTCTGGAATTTTTTGTTGATTTAATTCAATTAAATTTAATTTTCTAAATTCAAGAAACTTTTGCTATTTTTCATTCAGCAGCTTACAGCAGCATTTCTTTATATACAAATTAGGCAATTTTTAGGAAAATAAGGGTTAGTGTAAGGAGAGAAAATAGCCGAAATCAGAGGCGTTCAAACAACAAAAAGAGCAACTTAATCAAGAAAAAATTTAAGCCAGGCAGTGGGATACAGAAATTGAAACTAGGTGAAAACGCGTTGATTTGTGAAAATATGAAACATTCAATTTACAAAAAACCAGGAACGAAACATTTTTATGACTTAAAAATCGCTACTATAAAAAAGTCCAGTTTTTTGAAGCTTGCGAAGCCCAATTTCCAAGCCCGATTCCAAAGCCGACGAAGCCAGGAAGCGACGCTTAGGCTAAGGCCGATTTCCAAGCCGATTTCAAGATCACGAAGCGTAAGGAGCCCAAGCCGCTGAAGCCTTGAAATTGAAGTAGAAGAAGCGGATTCCTGGCGCTTTTGAGCTCAAGCACGTGGAGCCAAGATCGGCAGTCCAGGCGAAGCCCACAAAGCCTAATTATCAAGCTCAGCTATATTTCTAAGCCCTCGTAACCCCCTTCAAATCAGCCAAGCCAGCAAAGTCCATCCGAAGCTCTACTGTGAAAGCTAAGCCCTAAAAGCTTAATTATCTGGCACGTCGTAGCCGTCCAAGCAAGATCTAAAAACCTTAGCCTATGTCCCGAAGCCTATGAATAACCTAAGCCTAAGCCTAGGTTAAACCTAAGCCTAAGCTTATGCATAAGCTAAGCCCAAGCTCTTGTAACGCCACATCGAGGCCCTCGAAGCACAACTCCCACGCCGTCAATCCCAAAAAATACCCCTTGGTTGCCGGGGCCGTCGTCGTCAGCGCCACCTGGGCCATGTTATCGACATTGGCAGCTACCGTATCCCTCCTGTGCTTCTGGACGCGCTTCCGCCTCGGGAGGTGGCGTTTCGGCTTTACCGGCTCTGGTGCAGCCCCCACAACTCGTCCATTGGGGCCTCGCGGAAATTCCGTAACTGTTGAGGGCTCGTCTTTAATGGGAACATCAGGATAACGAATTATAGACGAAAGACACTTTTTTCAGTTTTCAGATGTTTCAATGAAATCCAAAACAAATTCATAAATGTGGTGGGCGTAATTCCGCCTTGATTCCACACTTGTATATCCTGAACAATCACTGCTAGCCTGCCCTCTCCTCTTCCTCAACAATCTCTGCTAGCCTGCCCCCCCCCCTTTCCCCAACACCTTTCCCCCCCCCCCCTCCCCCCCCCCCACCCTCCTCCCCCCCCCCCCCCTCCCCTCTTCTTAAAATCCCCCCATCCCTCTCCTCTTCCTCAACAATCTCTGCTAGCCCGCCTACCTTTCACTTCATTCATAATCGGGCGGCACCTATTCCGCTCTACAACTCCGTACGGTCCCATCTCCTGCACTTTCTGGCATTCCTGATCGTTGCTGAAGCTCGAGTCAACTTGTCCTCCACGCTGACTGTCCCCATCGACGAGCTTCATCTTCTGCTCCTTCTTTTCCCCCTCCCCGACCTCTTCGGCCTTCTCGACCTTCTCCTTCTCCTTCAGTTCATCTACCAGATGTTCGAGAACAATCTCCTCCTCCTTATTCTTCGCCAGAGCCTCGTCGCTGATCTTCGCCTCCGCCGAGCTCGACGAGTATCCAGAGTGGTCCTTTTGCGCACTAATAGGAGGTTACTAAGAGTCAAGCCAAGCGTACCTGAATTCCGGTTTTTCAGGAGCAGGCGGAAGTCCGTAAGCCGAGACAATTTCCGGGGCCTTGACCTTCTTGAGCTCTTTCTCGCGCTCGGCTAGGAACTCGGCCTCCCCGGAAACGGGGGTCTCCTCCAGCTCGCGTTTCCACTTGTGGAAGCGGCGCAGCCAGGCCGGGGTGGGCTTCTCCTTTTCCTTCAGCTCTTCCAGCACCTCTTCGACCTAAAAATAGGTTTAAAGGGACAGAGAAGGCAAAAATTGTCGAATTATATGTCGTAATCGGTTTGAAATTGTTAAAAATCGAGAGGGAGGCTAGCAGAGGTGATTTGAGGCATTGAAACCCATCCACAGCCTCTCAGGGCGGGCTAGCAGAGACAATTTGCGGAATTATTGTTATCATAATTGCTTAGAAGAATCGATTACGACATGAAAATCCCCGGCTCCCGTATAGAAACGACAAAAAATGTAAGAATTAAATGTCGTAATCGGTTGGGCACGGTATGAAACAGTGAGGCAGGCTAGCAAAGACGATTTGAAAAGCTCTAGCGATCCTGGAGGCCCGGGGCACCAGATTACGACATGTAATTCGGAATTTAAGAAATAGAGAAGGTAAAAAAATCGTAGAATTGGATGTTGTGTTCGGTTTTTCCGAAGTCGGGCGGGCTGGCAGAGACAATTTGCGGAATTCTGGCCATTCAGAAGAACCGATTACGACGACATGAATTCCTTTTATAACACCCACCTCGTCCTCCGGCTGAGTATGGACTCGAGAAATATGCGCAGAAAGCGGCGCTGTTGCCGGCGCTCCAGCGGCCCTTTCCGGTTGCTCGACGTCGTCTTCGGCATGACGGTGGTGGTCATTCTGGAGGCCGAGGTAGGGGGAGGAGGAGCCGCGAAAGGAAGAGGATGAAGCTCCTTTCCTATCGACGGCCTCGATCCCCGTTTCGCTGTCTTGCGACGCGGCAAACCGTGGTCTAAACGCGTGCACGTGCAACATGCTCCGGGTGGGGAAATGTTCTTCCGAAATGAGATATACATTTAAGGGTTCTTTGACATTATCGGGGGGAGGTAACTTTCTCTTAGGCTCTAATTTTTCGGATATAAATAGTGAGTGTGAACTGATTTTTACTATTCCTAAACGGGAAATTATCCAAAATTTTAGTAAAAATTACGAAGATTTCGCTTTTTTTGATCAAAACTTGAGGTTTATTAAACTTTTTCTCGGAGTTTAATTTTTCACATATAAACATCCCTAAACCTAAAAACTGAACAAGATTTAAGTAAAAAAGCTCAAAAATACCGATTTTTCGACAAAAAATGGCCGGTTTTGACCAAAATTTCGCGTCTTTAAGAGCTTTTATAAATTTTTTGAATCGAAATCTGACACAGCAAATTCTTTTAAACTATATGGGGTCGTTTTTTATGTAAATATAACTTATTCTTAAATCGGCATTTAAAAAATGATGATTATAACCATGTAATTTTTCAGAAAGCGAAATGTTTCATGCAATCGCATGCCGTTGCAAATTTTCATGCTATTAGTAAACCAACGTCAAGGAATTGAAAGATAAATTTTCATAAATAAATCCTGAAATTTAAAAAATACCATTTCATTACTTTAAATTCATTGATGTTTACGAAAACAATTTAAATTAAGTTATTTAATTAATTGAATTTAGATAATAAAATTTACGTATTTAATTAAAATAACGTAATTTAACGTACCCCTCCGTCGTCTGTAGCATGGCCTGCTGGGCGGCCAGCGGCGCCTCGGCCAGCTCGCCGTTCGTCGGGAAATACCGGGCGCTAAATCGACAACAAAACGATAAATAATAGAAACATAATAATTATATGAAAATCAACAAAATTCATTTTAAAATTGAAAATTATAAAATTCAAACTAAAATAGATCTTTTATTTATTATACAACTTAAATTATAAAATCAAAACTAATTTATTAACACTAGATTAAAATCAAAGACTATATTTTCGAGAATCCCCAAAAATAGAAGCCAGAACTCAGGTGCTCCTTTTCATGCCATTCTGTTGAAAAATAAAGTGTTTTTCAAAATTATGTGATTTTAGACTAATAAAATAATTTAATATAGCACACATTTGCAGGTTTCAAAAAATAAAAATTTTCCCGAATTTTGAAACCTTTTAATTCCAGAAAAGTACGTAAATGCCCACTTTATTCTCGTCTCGCCGGGCGGCGGACCATATTGGGCCAGGGCGACCGTGGCCAGCAGCGAGATGAGGAGGAGTTGCATTTTCTGAAAAATTTTAGGAGTTATGATAGTTCACAAAATAGTGAGAGAAATGTAGAGGTGGCAAAGACGAAATTTTCTGGAATCTCAGGGGCAGACTAGCAAAGACCATTAGGGCAAGCTAGCAGGGATTATTTGCGGGCAGATGAGAGCAGTCATAAACATGCGTGGATTGCAAAACTCCTAGCTAAAAAAAGTACCCTTAATGTCGAAATATATTTTTCTTACTGGAAGGCAGGCTAGTAACGATCTTTGAGGAAGGGGGATAGGGCAGGCTAGCAGAGATTGTTGAGGAAGAGGAGAGGGCAGGCTAGCAGAGATTGTTGAGGAAGAGGAGAGGGCAGGCTAGCAGAGATTGTTGAGGAAGAGGAGAGGGCAGGCTAGCAGAGATTGTTGAGGAAGAGGAGAGGGCAGGCTAGCAGAGATTGTTGAGGAAGAGGAGAGGACAGGCTAGCGACCCTTGCAGACTTTCTGGTCCCTTTAAAACTGAATTCCCATTTTTCCCCGAAAAGTGTACGCGACACTCCAAATAACACAAATGGCAGGTTAATCCCCCCGGCCAGGGGGTTGGGGGGGGGGCGGTGAAACCAGTCCCCCCGACAATGGCCAGGAAAATGTTTTGGAAAACCGGTTTTTTTGTCCCCCCCCCCCCCAAAAAAAAATTGGTCCATCACAAAATCGTAAATGCCCAAAAGGGCCTGACAATTTGGGGGTCTGAATCGGTGTGTTTCAGGGATTAAAGGTACCAGGAAGCGAAAAAATCGGTCAATGCTTGCGTGTTAGACGGTTGGGGTACTATCGTTAAAGGACCATTGAAGGCAACACTCAGCTTTAACGGGCCATTAAAGTCTAGCACAGTCAAAATTTGGACAGAAAATCGTGGTTTTAGCGTTTTAAAGGACCATTGAAGGCAGAATTAGACCTGATCAAATCAGATCCTCAAGAGGAGACTGAATAATGCCAAATTCCGACGGAAAAACGGTGTTTCAGCATTTTAAAGGGCCAATGAAGGCAAAGCCGCAAAGGGGGGTTCATTAAAGTGCAGAAAATTCCATATTACTCAAAAAAAATCGCTGTTTCCGCGTTTTGAAGGACCATTGAAGGGAAAATTATGCTCTAAAGGGCCATTAAAATCTGGAAGAGTCAAGATTTAAGCGAAAATCAGTTTTTAGCGTTTTAAAGGGCCATTGAAGGCAAAAGTAGACCTGATCAAATCAGATCCAGAAAAGCCGAAACTCAAGAGGAGACTGGATAATTGTTGTGAGCACGAGCGAGTAAAGTGCAAAATCACGGTCTTAAAGGACCGATGAAGTCGGAAATTACTAAACTGCCAGCAGAATAGTATTTTTAAATATTTAAATGAAGATTCCTGTCAAAAAAATTACAAATTTTAAGGGGCCATTGAAGGCTAGAAAAGCGAAAATTCAAAGGAAATAAATTATTTCGAAAGAACGTCCGGATTTGGCGCGAAATCAAAATCTTTGCAAGGGTCATTAAAGGCAAAAACGAGGGCAGGCTAGCAGTGATTTTTGAGGAAGCGAAATCGGGCCCTCGCTCGAGGCGAGAGTGGTAGAATTGTGATTGCCCCCCGTGCACTTGTCGGCTTATATAGGTGGCAGTGAGGGGCTGGGGGTGGCCATGGCCTGGGCGGACCCCCAGAGGAGCACGAGCAGAACCTGTTGCCACTTTCGAGCAGTTCACCTGCCAGCCACATAGCCCCACACTGCCCGATTATCCCTTTTATGCCCCCAGGAGGCTAAAAAGGCAGATTTTTCTCTTTGTAGCCCCGGGGAAAAATTGTGAGTGTGACTCCCTTGTTGAATCAGCGCTCTCGGGTGGGATTAGGGGCCTGTAAACCAGGGAGCAAGAGGTATTTGAATGGAAAAGGCAAAAAAGTGGCTACCCCCGTCTGTCTGTCTGGGGGATGGTAAGAGGTCAGCGGGTACGGTAGAGGGGCAAAGCCCCCCCTCCTACTCTCACAACCTCCTCGGCTATAAAAGAGTCGTGAAATCGAGGATGGCAGGCTGGCAGGGATTTTTGAGGAAGTAGAATCTAGGGAAAACGAGTAGGGATTCCTTAAGCTATTGAAAAGAAGGAGGCTAGCCGAATCCTTGTAGAAAACTTTTCTAGAACAGGCTAGCAGAGATACCGCTAAAAAACTCTGGCGAAATTAAATTTTAGGGGCAAGCTAGCAGAGATTTTTGAGGAAGAGGAGAGGGCAGGCTAGCAGAGATTGTTGAGGAAGAGAAGAGGGCAGGCTAGCAGAGATTGTTGAGGAAGAGGAGAGGGCAGGCTAGCAGAGATTGTTGAGGAAGAGAAGAGGGCAGGCTAGCAGAGATTGTTGAGGAAGAGGAGAGGGCAGGCTAGCAGAGATTGTTGAGGAAGAGGAGAGGGCAGGCTAGCAGAGATTGTTGAGGAAGAGGAGAGGGCAGGCTAGCAGAGATTGTTGAGGAAGAGGAGAGGGCAAGCTAGCAGAGATTGTTGAGGAAGAGGAGAGGGCAGGCTAGCAGAGATTGTTGAGGAAGAGGAGAGGGCAGGCTAGCAGAGATTGTTGAGGAAGAGGAGAGGGCAGGCTAGCAGAGATTGTTGAGGAAGAGGAGAGGGCAGGCTAGCAGAGATTGTTGAGGAAGAGGAGAGGGCAGGCTAGACAAGAATCAGAAGAAATCATATTGGAGTCGTGATTTATCAATCAACTTTGGATTTTTTTGAAACACTAAATTCACGCGCGCTACATGCAAGCTCGGCAATTTCCAAAGTTTGCTGCTAGCCCACCCTCGACGCCTCTCATCCGTTCCCCAAATTGCCTCTGCTAGCCTGCCCAAAAAGTCGCCCATTTCGGTGCCAAATTCCAGACATGCATTTCCGGTTTTCGGGGTTGGTAATCCGCCCTAACTTGGGGGTTCATTTTCGGAACGTGGCAATGGCAATAATTCTCGACCGGTTCGGGAATTGAACCCGTCAATGTTTCGACGCGACTAGATGCAAATCCGACCAGTCTTTTTTGAGCCGATGTTGGGACACGGGGCAGTGAACGCGAGGATTACTTTTCTCTCTCTCTCTCACTCTCTCTCCCTCTCTCTCGCTCTCGCTGATCTCCCAACCATCAATATTCCATTTTCATGTCTGTTTGTGTGTCAATCTGTCTGTCCGCCTGCCCCCCGAACTGGTCGGCTTAACCCCTGCGTTTTTGGAGCAACCCCCATATTTTTCGATTTATTTTTAGGGACCGGGACAGGCTAGCAGAGATTCTTTGGCGAAATTTCGAAACAAGCAAGCTAGCAAAGAGACTTTGACGAATTTTGATCCGGGCTAGCGAGAAAAGGTCCTTATGGAATTCAGAAAGGCAGGCTAGCAGAGGTTCTTTGGAAAATTTTGAATGATACAGGGTAGCAGAGATTCTTGAAAAGTACGGAATAAGGCAGGCTAGCAGAGATTCTTGGTGAAATTTCGAACTCACAGGCTAGCAGAAGCTCTTGGGTATTGGGTTCAGGCAAGCTAGCAGGGATCCTTTACGGAAATTTGGGTCATATGGCTAGCAGAACATCTTTTTTTTTAAAAAAGGAGCTGTGCAGATCTTGTTTTGAATCTTTTATTCCACGACACACCTCTGTACATCGTCAACATATGTTCAGCGCTTCTTCTTGAGTAATATCTTGAAGATGTCGTGCAGCACCTTGCTCATATCGTCCGTGTCGATGGCGACCGTGCTGGAAAGGGAGGGCAGGCTAGCAGAGATTGTTGAGGACCCTCTTACCGAAAGACATAATTCTCCTGATGGCCGGCCATTTTTGAGGTCGCCAGTTTTTCGATGAAATCCAGGGCATCGTCTATACTCGATCCTGAAATTTGGGTAGAGCGACCAAGAGAGCGAGAAAGAGAGAGAGAGAAAGAGAAAGAGAGAGAGAAAGAGAGAGAGAGAGAGAGAGAGAGAGAGAGAGAGAGAGAGAGAGAGAGGGAATTAAAGATCGCTTTCACCATCATATTCCGGCAAATAGTCAGCGAGCGGAAAAGCGGGCAGCTTTTCCCGGAAGACGTCCACCTCATTCAGAAACAGAAAAATTGGAATGGAAGAGAATTTCGGCTCCTGGACGATTTTCTCGAGGAGGCAGAGAGCGTCTGTCAGCCGATTCTAAATTGGGGCATGCTAGCAGGTATTCTTGGGGAAGACCGGGGGAGCTAGAAGTGATGGCAAAAACCTACCGTAACCCCATCCTCGTCCATGACTTGGTCATACTCGGAGATGGCCAGGCAGAAGAATATCGTGTCGATGCCGTCGTACCTAGAGAAATGAGGTTACTTTCCCCCAACAATCTCTGCTAGCCTGCCCTCTCCTCTTCCTCAACAATCTCTGCTAGCCTGCCCTCTCCTCTTCCTCAACAATCTCTGCTAGCCTGCCCTCTCCTCTTCCTCAACAATCTCTGCTAGCCTGCCCTCTCCTCTTCCTCAACAATCTCTGCTAGCCTGCCCTCTCCTCTTCCTCAACAATCTCTGCTAGCCTGCCCTCTCCTCTTCCTCAACAATCTCTGCTAGCCTGCCCTCTCCTCTTCCTCAACAATCTCTGCTAGCCTGCCCTCTCCTCTTCCTCAACAATCTCTGCTAGCCTGCCCTCTCCTCTTCCTCAACAATCTCTGCTAGCCTGCCTCACTGGCACGTGTCACTCATATAATATTCGCTGCCTTGCTAAAAATTTGAGAAGCTCCCCATCATAGGGATTCCTAAAGAGTCTCTGCTAGATACCTTCTGCACAAGGAATCCCTGCTGGGGTGCGGAGAAAAATCATGTTTCAAAGCTATTGGGCCCTCTTCTGGTTAGGATTTTTCCAATGCGGGCTCGTAATCCTTTGCCTAATCCTCTGATTCTAGACTTTTCCCAAATACTCTCTGCTAGCCTGCCCGAAAACCATCTAAACCCACATCGTGGCCCATTTCCTTCGATCGATCCGTTGGCCGCCCATGTCGAACAGCCTAAAAAAAAATCGATTTTCTCAAATTTAATGAAAATTA